CTGTGCCAGGCACTTAAAAATAGCATCCTACCCAAAACGTAGGCATGAGACGGAACTCCAGAAAAGGAGAAAGCCTCTCCTCTCTTGCCTCGGAGCACGTGGACTCTGAGCGAGCTGTGCCTGGCGCTGACAAGGGGCCTCTCTCCGAGCCTTCTGTTCCGCCTGGGGAAGGGAAAGCCCTAGCCCAAAGCCGGCGCAGCGAGTCAACGGGACTGCTACGCGGGACATCACCCCTCTGACCCGGGGCCTCTCTGCACCCCGGCCACAAAGGAGCCACTCGTCTCCGACCTTCCTCCCTAGAAGGTCACTGGAGGCTGGCTGTGACCTTGACCTCTCCATCCAGCTTCTGCCCTGTAGGGTCAGTGACCCACTTGAATGGATTTCCTGCCATACGTTTTCTTTTGCAGCATTGTTGCTAATAGCAGGAAACCAGAAGGAGCTAAAATGTCCAAAACTGGAGGTCAATTAAGTTAATTATGGCAACGGCACCAAAGAGAACCACGTGGCCTGTAAGAAGGCATCTTTCAGAACGCCATGCTTTTTGGAGGCTGAGACGCTGTCATTTGTCACACGGATCGCCTATTTCATAACCCCCTTCAGGGGAGAAAAAGAGAGAAGTAGCTGGGATGTTTCTTTTGACAATGATTCTAAAACACATCCCTATTTCAGAAACATCAAAGTGTGGGAAAATATGCAACATGGTAAAATGTAATGATTTACAGGAAATGGTCTTGACACATTTTTAAGTTTAAAAGAAGTGGGTTAAGCAACATCATGCCGGGTCTTAAGAAAAACTAGCACGCGTATACAGACACAGGCTGTGCTCATTCAGCAGTGATCCGAGCCCACGAAACACACACGCACACGTAGAAACAGGCTGGAAGGACACCTAACGAAAGCTAGCAGCGCGTGTCTCCGGGGACTGGGGCTACGAACACTTTGGGGTTTCTTCTCCCTTGACGTTTTCTGTACTTTCTGATCTTTCGATTTCATAGTCAGGTGACTGAAATGGCGGTGGCTCCTGCTTCCGATCTCCCCTCCGTGTGTCCGGAGTCACCTGTGCTGAACGCCCTCCAACGGGGACCCTCTGTGCTCTCACCACCACCTGTGGAGGCAGGAACCTTGCCACCACCATTCTGCTGGTTGGGAAACCGAGACTCCGACTGGGCAGTTTTCCTGAGGCCGCAGAGCCTCTGCGCGATGGAGCCCGGATTCAAGCTCCGGTCACACGATTCCAGAGCCGAGGCCCTTCAGCGTCTTCTGTGGACACTAAGCTCACCATGGGCCCTCCTTGTCAGTGCCACAGGGCATCGAAGGACAGCGCCACCTCTGTGCTCGCCAGGAGGGGAAGCCTTGATGTGGAGCCCGGAAAGGGCCCCTCGTGTCTACCCAAAGTCTAGAGCTGGGGCTCCCAGCCCCCTTGGTCCTGAGCCACGTGCGTGTTTTGTGACATAAATGAGCACAATCAGGCTGAGAGAACCAAGACTGAGACCACCAGCCCAGCTGACCCAGCCCCTCTCCAGGCAGACAGAGGAAACGGATGTTTCCACAGCACCGTGCAAGGATGCTTTGGCAAGCCCCCCTACATCCCCTTGATAGTGTCTTCTCGTCCTGCTGAAAGGAGTCTCCAGCTTCCTCAAGAGAGAAACACTCCTGACATCATTTCTTCTTCTTCGCTGGCCAGCCAAGGGAGCTGCTGGGATCCCTCCAAGCAGGGGGTGGGGAGCGTGTCCGTTTGCCGGAACTCAGCTGAGAATCTTCTCTCTAGGAGACCCCGAGAAACTGTTCCAAACAAACAGAAAGGCTGCTGGGGAAGCTGGTGGCCGGGAACGCAGGGCGGCCGGTGCAGCCCCGGGGAGAAGGATGCAGACAGAAAATCCCAGTGTCGTTGGTACTGGGCCTCGCCGCCAGCCGCGGAGCTCCTCGAGGCGCCAGGCTGTGTCTCCACAGCGACAACGCCAGTGAGCAGGGCTGTCCCATTGTCCAGGCTGGCAAAGCTGAGGCTCAGACACGTGAAGGGACAGCCTCACAGCCAGAACGCAGCCGGGGCTCCGAACGCTGCTCTCCCAACTCTTCAACGTCCCTCGGATCTCAGACCCCCGCAGGAATGCTGTGGAAGCCAGAAACTCCGCCTTAAAAAGTGCACGTCGGCTTTTCACGCAAAATGTGGTGGATACATTCCGGGGGGGTCAAGCTCTCCTTGAAGGCCTTCGATAAGAGCCTTTGTCGACTGTCCAAACACATTCACTTCCACCCTGCACCCCTGCGCCAGTGCAGTCTTTAGGGGAAGGCGAGGGAAGGGTGCTGGTCTCCACCTCCTACCGCAGCCTCCAAGGGGAGGAGAACCCGGGCTGCGTTTTCCCTGTAGCGGCCCTGTGCACGCACGACCAGGACTCTGTGCACGGTGGGGGAGCCAGACCTGTCCCCCCCCTAGCAGTTCTGGCTATTGGGAGCTCCAGTCCCACCCCATTTTTAAACTTGTAAGACTCGTGTCCGACTTTGGGCCCCCAGGACAGTGAGATAACAACGTGTGTCGTCTCAAGCCACCGAGTTTGTGGGCATTTGTTATGGCGGCCACGGGAAGCTAAGGCACCCGCCCACTGTCTCCCCACACAAAGCAAGAGTGAGCCCACAGACTTGGAAGGCCACCCCCACAGGAAAATGTGGGCTCTCCTTTCAGAGAATGTCAAGAGGTCAGGTGGCCACCAGGAGCTTACTTCGCTCCATCCGAACCTGCCACGGCTACACCCCGACGGCTGTGAGAAGCGGCCACTGCTCACGGGTGCCGGCCACACGCACACCGCCGTACCCACGGTCCCCGAGCCACACGGCAGCCCACCGTGCGGATTGGAAAAGCGAGGTGCGGGGAGACTGAGTGGTGCGCCTGGGGCCACACAGCCAAGAACCACGGCTCCCGTGTCTCCGGGCTCTTCCGGCTCGCTCTCGTTTCCGACACAGCCGACTGTTAATGAGGCCAGACACGACGAAGGGGGTGCCGGCACGGTCGCCGCAGGACTGGGGCAGCACACGGGCCCGTGTCCGTGCTGGCGACGCACAGTGCTGTGTGCACGCACGTGAGCCAGAGGGTGAGAAGGTTGTCGTGGAGGCGTGACCCCTCAGTTATCCGTGGCGACGGGCCAGCGATGGGTGAATCAGTCCAGGGGTGCCCCCGCCCACTACAGACGGCCCCTCCCACCTCGCCTCTCAGCCAACTTTCCAGAGAGGCTGACGGGACTGGGAAGCAACACGTCCCCTCCCTCGCTCCCGGAGAACTAGCCGCGGGGTGGCCGGGAAGGGAGAAAGTGCACTCAGGGGCTGCAGAGTCCTTCCCGGCGACGAGGAGATTAACCCGGCAGACCTGGCCTCCGGACAACGCAGGAACCTGGCCTGGTTGTATCTGCCCAGCTGTGAAATGACTGATTATGGAGCACGTACCTGATCAAAAGCTGGCTCTAGTGGAAGGTGATGCCCAGGGCGTTTATGATAAAGGGTGACAACAACCCCACCCACACCTCACGTAACGTGGCAGCGTGGTCCGTTGGAGACATAATTGGGGTCGGACAGATCTCAGAGTGTACCACGGGTGACCTGAGCCTCACCGTCCTCATCTGCAAAGAGACCCCTGATTTTGTTCCAGTTTCTACACGCTCTGTACATGTATGGGCTTCAGGAGAGGCAGGCTCCAGTCCCAGAAGGCATATCTTGATTGATCAAGGGCCATTACGATGACTCCAGCCCTCTTGTCTGTGGTTAGTTTCAGTGGATATATGACACAACCTAGCCAATGAGCAGAGGAGCTTCGGTGAAAGACTTTTTTCCCCCTTAAACTTGATACGCAAAGAAAGATAATCTTTCTCCTTCTGTTGGAAGCTGGATGTGATGCCTGGAACAGCTGCAGCCACTTGTTAGCCTGAGGAGAACCAGCCTAAGGTCAAGGCTAGCACCCTGAGGAGGGCGCAATGTATAGACAGAAAGAGGCTGGGTCCTCAGTGGTGTCCATGAGACGGTGCATGAACCAATTCTGGATCCTTCATGTCTCAGGACTTTCTGACCTGCTAGTTGGCAGGTTACATGGATAACATCACATGTAATGTCAGAAGCATGAGTGGATGTGAACAGAACACGTTATCGTAAAATGCTATCATACATTTAATACAGAAAAACTTGGCCAAACACAGTTGATCAAAAATCTGAAGACTTTGTTGGGCACCCAGGCGGCTCAGTCGGTTAAGCATCCGACTTCAGCTCAGGTCACGATCTCACGGTCAGTGGGTTCGAGCCCCACGTCGGGCTCTGTGCTGTCAGCTTGGAGCCTGGAGCCTGTTTCGGATTCTGTGTCTCCCTCTCTCTCTACCCCTCCCCCACTCACCCTCTGTCTCTTTCTCTCAAAAACAAAAAAACATTAAAAACATCTGAAGAAGTTGTGAATCATACCAACTATTTTCTATGTTAGGAATCAGCCTCCAAAGGCAGGTTGATAAGTGAACTGGCTGGATGACCCCTGACGGTCCCTCTATCTCCTTTCTCATCTGCTGATGAAGAAGTTAACCTCACATGACCACCACATTCTCTTCGGATCAAGTCTTTCCTGTCCTGGGATTCAGGCTATGTTATAAGGAAACATTACCGATATTTGGGGAAAAAATTCCACTCTGCAAGGGTCAGGAACATAATTACACATAATAAATCATCCCTGATAGACAAGATTCTGTACTCACTGGAGAAATCAGCACGGTACCACAATCTCTACAGAGGAAAAGGCAGAGCTCTAGAACAAGCATTGCAAAAACTTATTTGGGAAGTCGCAACGACCATCAGCAAACACTTCGCGAGTGCCTTCTGTATACAAGGCATCCATCTAGAGCTGGAAACTCAAAATGACAAAAACGTATCCGACCGGTCGGCCCCTATTCTCAGGGAGCTTATAGTTTAATTAAGGTGCCAACAGACGTGTGCCAACAGGACTGAACTTCCCTTGGGACACGCTGGCATGGCCTTACCGTATTTCACAGCCAGGGATGGTTCTGAGAGTTCCGTACGGATGTCCACGTGGAAAGCTGTCCCTGCGTAAGAAAGAGGAAGTCTCAGTGCCAAGGAGCCAATGCATGAAAAGAATCACACGTGTGACCTATGGACCAGTGGCTTCAAAAAATGGTCAGCTTCAGAAAGCGCTCTTCAGACAGAATCTAAAGCTGAAGTCAAATACACATTACACATACGAGCAAACACAACCGCGCACCAGAGCTGCCGTGGTTAACATGTGAGGGCAAGGCCTCCACTCGGTCAGGAAACATCCAATGCGACTAGGGTCACACAGTGGACCGGACGTGGGATCTGTCCTTGCAGGTGGTGTGCAGAGGGCAGGTGGCCTCTCTGAACCACAGTCTCTTCATCTGCGAAAGGAGAATCGAAGGAAATAATGCAAAGCACACAGCCTCCGGCAGGTCTCCACGAGTGTGAGCTCCGTGACTCCAAGGTCACCTGAGCCGTGTTGAAGAGATGCCCTATGATGACCTTCCTCACCCACAGGGGTGTCATCTCTATTCAGCCTCCATTTGCAGCCATTCCAGGGGGGACAGGGCGGCAGGACTGGGGTCAGGAAACCTTGGTTCTAGCCCTGCTCCGCCCGCATCCGCTCAGCTCTCCTTCCTCAAGGCTCAGTCGCCTCCTCTGCCAGGTGAGGATAACGATCTATTGATCTCAAAGGCATGTCACAAGGGTTAAATGAGGCGTGAAAGTGCTTTGTCCCCTGGCATTTCTTTCGGCCTTCCCTCCTTTGGTGCCAAAACCTTTAGCTTGGCTGGGCTTGGCAGGAGGCACAGTGAGCTCCCAAACGCAAGGCCGAGCTCTGTCACTTGCTAGCTGTCTGTCCTTTAAAAGTGACTTGCCACTCTGTGTCCTGCGCGCGGAGCCCACCGCAGCTGTGATGATTGACCGCAGCTGGGATGATATACTGCCATTTTTGTTCTCTGTCGTGGAAATGGCTTGGGCCAACCTGGGGGTTGTCTGTGCTGCAAACACACACGCACACAGTCAGCTCAAGGGCACTCATTCGGCAGCAAGAGCTTGTTCAGAGTCCAGGTGACGTGGATACCGCTCACCCCGGCCGTTTCCGATGCTTACAGCAACGCATGTGTTGCGGGGCTCCGGTCTTCAGCCGACCACAGGATGGAGATGCTCCTACAGATGTTGGCAGCCACCACGTCTTGAGCACCTGCTGAGCAGGCTCTCACCTAATTCTCCAGCCGCCTCTTCAAGTAGGTACCTTTTACCTCCATCTTGCAGAGGAAGGGGGACACGGGGCAAGCTGGGGGGGAGAGCCAGGATTGGAATCTGCTCACTCTGACTTCTGGAGTGTCTGCCCTCAACCTCTCTGGTCCACCGGAGGGGAGATGGGTCTGGGAAGGTCCCTGCGGGCAAACCACCATATCGGCCAAGAAGGCATTCAGCAGCAGGTGGCAGAGGGCCCAACTCACTTGAACAAACGTGGGTTTATTTTTCAAACAAGAAGCTTGCGCCTGGGTGGCGCCAGGCACAAGGTCTGGGTGAGTCTCCCTCGTGTGTGTCATCACAAGGGAACAAGGCCTCCACCACCGTGGCTGTGCTGTGTTCCAGAATGCTCTGATGGGGAGGGCAAAGAGGATTGCCTGACACATTTCCCCTCTGCGAGAGAAGTCACTTTCCAGAAACCCCTCGTCAGGCTTTGACTCGAGTCTTACTGGCCAGAACTGGATCACAAGGTTATTCCTGGATACAAGGGAAGCCAGGCATGGGAAAGTGTTGTTTTCCAACCTTTGTAGCCAGTGGGAGAACAGCTGGGAAGGGCTTTCTGGTAGTTCACCAGCCATGCTGCACATCTACCAAGAGGCTGTCCCCACCCCTGCCTTGGAGACCGGGTCCGTATTGTGTAGCTGTCGTAACAGAGCACCACGGACGGGGAGCCGGGACACGGGGGTAGAGCTTCAAACAGCAGAAATGTGTTCTCTCACAGCTCTGGAGGCCAGAAGCTCAAAGTCAAGGTGTTGCAGGGCCCTGCTCCCTCCGAAGGCTCTACGGGAGGGTCCTTCTTGCCTATCCCAGCTCCCGGGGCTCCAGGCGTCCCCAAGTCTTTGCCTCGAGCTTCACATGGCCTCTCCCGTGTGTCTCCTCTTCTTAGAAGGACACCAGTCCTTGGGTTAGGACCCACCCAAATGCCTTCACTCAACCTGATTACATCTGCAAAGACACTACTTCCAAAGAAGGTCCCATTCACAGGTACTGGGTGTTAGGGCTCCAAGACATGTTTTAGGGGGACACAGTTTAACCATTAACAGAGACCCGTGTCTGCCTTTTGTCTTCTTTGCGAGGGAAGGTAAAGGACCACACCTGTTCCCTTTAGAGGGACAAAGATGCCTCCTTCCAAGATTAGACCCTCCCCCCCACACCTCTGCTCCCATGGCCTTGGGCCAGCCTTGCCTGAGTAGGGCCTTTCTGACCCCCCTGCTCCTTCCTCCCACCCCCTCTCCATCAGAGGCCCTCTAGAGTCCTCTGCTGCAGGCACTGACCTCTCCTCCTCCTGCCGGAGGGTTTTCTGGGACACAGGAGTCCCAGAGCCTGCCAGAGACAAAATGTTTTTCAAGCCCCTGAACTGTCCTGCTCAGCACGGACCTTAACCCCCACCCGAAACCTAGCACTTGCCATCCACGTGGCCTCTCAACGCTCAGGGCTCCTGGGGTTACCTTTCCAGGCAAGGCTCCCCTCTGGCAGCGGGCACCTGTGCCCGGGTGAAGTGCCTGTGTGGCCGGAGCTGTGCGAGCTCCTTCTCTAGTCCTCACTTTTGTGACAGGATGAGGAAAGGGCACTTGGAAGACCTGCCCTGGGTCATGCAGCTTAGCGACATGGGGGTGGGGTCAAATGCAACAGGCGTTACACTTGACGGTCATAACAACCCAACTGCTAACGTTTATTGAGCACCTGCTACAAGCCACATGTTTCATGCCCGCTGCCTCCAAGTCTATGAGTAGGAGCTCCTGGGAGGGGGAAGTGACTTGCCCAAAGCTAGGTGCACCTAGAGAACCCCCTCCCCCCCCCCCCCTTTCTCGGGGGGGGGGGGCAGGCAGGATGCAATTTTCCGGGACATTACCCCAAAGGGGGAATTGATTATGTTAATTATGTTAAATACCAGGATTCCTCCTGGTCCTACGAACCTATAAAACACCAGGATAAAATGTGGTTAGACCCACCAATCTCCCTCGTCTTCCGTAACTGCTTAAGCACAAGAAGAGGGGACATATGTCTGATTTCCATCAACCTCTGAAGCCACCAAGGACACCCCAAGCCCCACTCGTTTGGTGTCTCTATGTCTCACGCAAGGGCCTGAAATTCTCATGGGTGGGTGGGAGGGTGCAGCAGGAGGGAGAATGGGATTATCCAATCCCACGTCTCCGTTTTCCCTCCCCATTCTTAGTGTCCCTGCCCCCAGACCTTCAACAAAAGCAGAGGTAGATTAATTCGTACTGCCGTATAACCAGTCACCACAAACTTAGAGGCTTAAAACAATACCCATGTAGCATCTGGAAGTTCTGTGGGCCAGAAATCTGAACAGACCCATCGGAATCTCTGCTCAGAGTCTAATGGGCAGAAGTCAAGGTTTTGGTGGCTGGGTTCTTGCCTGTGGCAGAATCTACCTCCTTGAGGCTACAGGTCTGAGGTCTCTGTGTCCTACTGGCTATAGGTCAGGACCACCTTTTTCTTCCTTCCCATGCGGCCCTGTCTGTTTTATAAGCAGCAATGATACCATATGTCTTCCTGACGCTTCTAACGCTGCTGACACCCCTTCTGCCAGCAGCCAGAGGAAACTCTCTAGTTTTAAGGCTCACCTGATTATGCCAGGCCCACCCAGATAATCTCTGTGTGTCAAGGTCACCCGACTTGGGACTTTACATCTGCAAAATCTCTTCACTTAGATTAGTGTTTAGATAAGCAAAGACTGGGAATTCTGCCTACCCCGGGAGGTCTGACAGGGACATTAGCTGCAAGAGAGCCCCCTCCCCCATCTCTAGGCAGGGGAGACACCACCTTCCTCCTTCTCTGGTATGAAATGGGCCCTCTTTCAGCACAGAGGAATCTGTAGAAATTCACCTCTTACTCTGAAGGAAAAAACGTAACAGAGACCTGGCCTCCAAGGGGAAGCCCTAATCTTCATACTGAACAAACTTGTTTTCTACTGGCTGTGGGGCAGGCCATCTATTCACATTTGGAAGAATTGGCCATCAGATTTCTTTTTCCTTTTTTTCAGGGCATTTTCAAGTGACAATCTGTCAATGCTTTTCAAGACTGATTCTCAGAATGAAGTGTGATGAGTTTCCTAATACAGCGACTCGTTATTGCCAGGTGTAGATGACCCCAACAGCAGCATAAGGGGCCCAAGCTCTGAGCACGCAGGCTGCGGGGGGCTCCAGACAGCTCTGCTTTTCCCTCACTGTTCTGGGTTGAATGATGTCCCCCCAAAATTCATGTCTACCTGGCACCTGTGAATGTGACGTTATTTGGAAATAGGGTCTTTGCAGATGTAATCAAATGAGGTCACGCTGGATCGGGTGGGCCTCGAACCCAATGCCTGGGGTCTTTGTCAGAAGAGGTGGACACAGAATTGGACACAGAGATAGGAAGGCAACCACCTGAAGATGGAGGCAGAGGCTGGAGTGATGTGGCTACAGCCGAGGAGCACCAAGGATTGCCAGCGGCGACCAGAAGCTGGGAGAGAGGCCTGGGATATATTCTTAACCAGAGCCTTAAGAAGGAGCCTACCTTGCCCCCCTGCCCCCTGGATTCCAAACTTCTAATCTCCGGGGCCATGAGAGGATAGATGCTGTAGTTATAAGCCACGAAGTTTGTGATAATTTATCTACGGCAGCAATAGGAAACTAACACACCCCCTGTGTGTGTGTGTGTGTGTGTGTGTGTGTGTGTGTGCTTTAAATCTAATCCCTGACCACCTACAAACCTCACCCTATTTTATTATACCACCTACCTTCACTCATTTACTTTCTGCCTGGCCTTAAAGCATTTTAATTTGCAACCCCTGGTGTAATTGATACATTTAATAAAACTGGGTTTCAAAAGCAAATACCTCATACTGTGCATAAGAATAAACTCCAAATGGTTCAGGGACCTGAACATGAAAAAAAAAATGAAACCATATACATAATACAAGAGAACACAGATGAATTTGTTTATAACCTGGGTGTAGGGAGGGGTCTTCTAACCACCACTTAAAATCCAGATGCAAAAAATGATCACAAAAATACACTTTTTTTCAAGGTAAAAACACAATAAATGAAGTCAAAGGCAACTGACAAACCGGGACAGAATATTTTCAACATAAATCACAGATAAAGGGCTTTTATAGCTCTAATATATAAAGAACTCTTAGGAATTGACAGAAACAAAGACCCAAAACGTGATAGAAAAATGTGCAGAAAACATGAACAGGCAATTCATTAAAAAAAAAAAGAGGAAGATACAAAAATGGTGTCCACATCTGTTCTCCAATCCTGCCAGACACTCTGAGGCCCCTGCTGTAACTTAATAAATCTGTTTCTGCTCAAACCAGACATAGTAGACTCTTCTGTCTGCAGTACGGACTGTTTCCAGATGTCAATCTACCTTGAAGCACAAAGACTTCCCGGCCTACAGTGTCTCCAAAAACTATTTACACAGACTGTGGAGGCAGCTTTAAAAGAGGAGTTCACATGTATATTTTCAAGCAATCATAGTTTTATCACAACAGGAGCTGGCCTTCTGGGGTGAGCACCTTGAAGGAGGAAGCTTTACTGGGCTGGGTGAGCTCTGGTGTGTTTGTTTAAAAAGAATCCTCCCATATTTCAGAGTTACACCCTGTCACCCAAACAATACGTTACCTGCCTTTGAAATGTGTTTTTCACCCCGACTTGAGTCTGGGTGTGTTCTGTATCTTGAGACTTCAAGCCAGGCGGTGAAGCCTCGATTGGGATGGCACTGGGAAGCAATCCAGTTCCTCCGCTTTAGCCCTGCTCGTACTTCTCGGAAACACATGGGGGATCTGGAGGAGGCAGGTCGGGTTTCAGCCTGGTGCAAGGTCCAGGATAAGCAGAACTGCCTTCTGAAACTCAGCCAGCAGAACAGAAATAATCTGAATGTCCAGCAATAGGGGATTAGTAGAAAATTTTGCGGTACGCCCAAACAAAGGGATTCTGGGCTGCCCTTGAAAACCAGGACTTGGAAGAGAGTCCGTGACAGGCGAAGACATCTGGGATATGTTGTTAAGTGGAAAGAAGAGATCGCAAAATGTGGAGAACAGCCCTATTTTTGTGGAGAGTAGACTGTTCCTGTAAAAATAGGTGTGCATAAATGCATATGAATACAACAGTGTCTAGGAAGATGTACTTTCAAATGTTGACGTTGGTTATGACTGAGAAGTGAGATTCTTTGTGAGTTCTATATCATTTTCTAGTGAGATATAATCTCTGTACAAGGAGCATGCATTACCTCATGACGAGGCAAAACAATATAGATGTATACTATTGTTTACTTATATATATATAAAATCTATAACTTACTTGCTTTAAAAGAGTCCAGAAGAATTATGTACATATGCCAGAGCAGGGTGGGGGAAACAGATGAACCAGGAATGGCAAAATGTCACCGTTGAGGAAGCTGGGCAGTAGGGACGCAGGCAATCACTACACTAGTCGACTGACTCTTGGGTATGCTTGGAAATTTCCAAGGTGGAAAGAGAAAACGCACAAAACCAAAAGCAGCAGTGAATTAATTGTGGTGTGGGAAACGAACAAATGTGAAAACTGAACAGACATACGACACAAATAAGGCTCAGGACTCGTCGAGAACCCACGAGCCCCGGATGGTGCCTCAGCTTCCCCATCTGTAACAGGGAGGATCCCGGTCAAGGTGTAGGCCTGTGATACGGACTTAACTGATTATTTTGGTGGTTGCTATCGTTCGGTCCAAAGCAGCACACGGGAAGCCTGACAGCAAAACGTCTCCACGAGGTGCACACAAGGGTCACACGGGAGCTGGTGAAATGTGGCGTCCAAGACCCCACTCCCAGGGAGTCTGGATCCGTACCCGGGGTCAGGCTGAGGAACCACCATCTCAAATAAGAGCCCAGGTAATTCCCGCCGTGGCAACGGCACCTAGCCCAAGGCCACAGACACCTAAGAAAGCAAGTCTGCCCTGGAGGAAAATGTGTGTCTGTGCAGAATCAGCGCCAGGCATTGTTTGGGACAACTGCCCGTTTACGACTCCAGGTGGACTCTGTGGGAGGCCACGGCTAAGGAAAACTGGCATGCGGCAGATGACAGATAATGGCTGGAGCCTCTGGTTTGCAGAAATAACGAATAAACACGTTACCTTTATGCTTTCCTCCGGGAGGGGCAGATCCTGGGCAACTGACTCAGGTCAGAATCTGGTTCCAACGCGTACAAACTTGCTTGGCCCTGGGCCCACGATGACCTTTCCATCTGTAAAACGTGAACAGTGACAGCAGTTCAGAAGCAGGCTCACAGAGCTGTGGCCATCACGAGAGGCTATCAGGGGCTGAGGCACCGAGCAATGATGCCATCAGTGAGATCAGGGACCTACTTCGTAAGGCCTGCACGGAAGGGGTTTGGGGTCCCTTTGTTTTCTGTGTCAGAAACGCAGGGCCTTGGGTAAAGGAAAAACGCACATCAGCACGTGTCTCCAACTGGAGACCAGGCACACCCCTCGACAGACCCTGAAGGGAAGGTAAAGTGGCGGATCCGGGAGGGAGCCTGGGTGTACTTCTGCCCCACTGTTCAAGGACTCCTCCTGCTGATGGGACTCGCGACCTGCACTCTGTTTTCATTTTCCTACCACAACATGGCCTCCAGGCTCCTCCCCTAGGCTTGGGTTCTACGCGAGAACGGAGAAGCGGGGCGATGGGGGCCGGGCGCTGGACTTGGAGTCCAGGTGGCCGAGCTCTCGCCTCAGCCGCATTCCAGGACCGCGGCGACTCCGTATCCCTTCAGACACAGGAAGTCATCCCAGGCACAGCCCATCCTCATTGCAAAATCGCTTCTCTGGGGCATTTGGGGTGAATCCCAAGTCTCTCTCTCTCTCTTTCTCAACAATAGTATTAATTTATACTCCACTCCAGTCCTTTGGAAAACATAGACAGACATATCGTTTGGCCCTAGACCGCAAGCTGCCGAGGGCAGGGCCCACTGTACTGTCGGTCCCTGGTCCGAGTTAGGCACGTGGCAGGTATGTTCACTCCTGGGAGTGAGTTTTGCTGTCCACACAGCGTTGTACCGGGAATCTCTTCTCATCTGAACACACGGCCTGCTTCCCTTTTACCTACAGCCCCTCTGATCACGTGGAGGAACGCCCTACCCTCTGACTTACACTGTGCTCCCCTCCCCGGCCTCCTCCCACAGATCCTCAGGCCCTCCACTCTGTAGAAGGTGGAGAAACGTTCAAGTCCCACCTGAAGTCAGGGAAAGGGACCAGCTGCAAACAGCTTGGGGCTGGAGGCTGTTTTAGGGAAGGAGCCCTGGGCAGCAGCTGGCTGAGAAAACCACAGCCGCATGGCCAGCCCCAAGAGACAGCATTTCTAGCATTCAGAGGGACTGGCAGGTCACCGTCCACTTTAGCCTCCGGAGGCTCCTGGCTGTTTCCTGGCAAGGGAACTGTGTGCTGATAGAAAGCTCCCACAGACGGGCGGCCATCGGCTTCCAGAACAGGAGTGCAGGCATCTGTTCCTTAAAGTCGAGGAGCTGGGTGTCATTCTTCTTGGAGGCCCCCAAACCCTTGGTGGGGTGTGCTCCCACAGGGTGGTGGTTTGTTCTCCACTGAGCTGGATTAAACTGAGCTGGAGTACGGATGAGGGGCAATGGGACTTGTAAGACTGTCCTGGAGTGGCCACAGCAAACAGCTTGGGGCTTAGCACGACGGAAGTGTTCCCCCGCAGTCAGAAGTCCAAAGTCAAGGTGTCCCACGGCTACACTCCCTCCAGAGACTGCAGGGGAAGATCTTTCCTGCCTCTTCTAGCTCCTGGTGACTCCAGGCGACCCCTGGCTCCAAATCTCTGCTTCTGTCTTCACATGGCCTTCTCCACCGGGAGTCTCTGCTTGTGCTTTTCTGTCTATTACAAGGAAACCCTCATCCGTAAGCTGTCCGGTACACACATTAAATAGCAAACGGCAGAGCCAAAAAGGGACAAGAAGGCGGTCAGGAGCTGGGGGACCTCGGTCGTTACTTGTGGTTCAATTTCCCCAGCTGTCCAGGGCCGGTTAGCATCTCTGCTAGCTGCCGGGAGTAGGATTCCTGGTTTCCTTTTATAGATGAGGAAACTGAGGCTTGGAATGGTTGGGTGAAGGGCCAAGGTCACAGAGCTGGCCAGAGCTGGGACTGGAACGAAGGTCAGCTTGACACCACAGCTTGGAGGTTTCACACCCTGGTGGGGCTGCCCCGGAGGAACCTGAGCACCATAAGGTCCCAAGATCTTTCTGCTCCAAGGAACCTAATTAACCAATAGGAGGCAAACGTGTTGACTTGCCCCGATTTCCGTATTATTTTACATTCTCCTATGGTAGCTTCTGGAATGTGGCTACTTCCCTGGAATGACTTGAAAAGGTGAGGCCAGAGTGAACAAGGATTGATGTGGTTGCTTGTAGACAGTAGACTCTACCGGGGAAGTGAGGCAGGGAGACCCAACGGGGACCAGCCTCACCCCTCCTGCCTATGTGGATTTTCAACTGCCCGGGACTGCCACCTGGATGCCTGCTCCTCCCTTCACTGACCAAGAGCACCGTGGTGGCTCTGGGAAATTTTGCCCAAGGCGTGGAGAGGGGTCAGGGAGTGGGAAGCACATTTTCCTTCTCTCCCTAGAGTGGCTCTGCAAAGTCTGTTCAGCCTTGAGGTCCCAAGGCTGGCGAATGTCTTGCTAGGAAGTTTCCAGCACCTTGGACCACGTCCTGCAGAAATGCATGCATTTATTCAGTGCCTTGCTCTTGTGTGCTGCCCAGCACCAGGGTGTAGGCTCCACAGGGCGGGCAGGGCAGGGCCCCAGAGCCTGGCACGCACAGATGAGTCGTAGGTCGCCAGAAGTCAAAAGACGGCACCCAGGGGGAAGGGCAGGGAGAATGGACCACTGCTGCGGGGCCCGGCCTGCCGCTGTAGGACTCACGGGGGTCGGGTGCCCCGGCCTCCCCTCCACCTGCGGTGGGGGCCGCGCACAGGCCAGGAGGGGAGGGGGCGTTGCTCGTGCCCCGGGGTCCTCGCGCGCTGACAGCCGGCTGACTTAACAGTGGCCGCATCTGGCGAGGTCTGCGGAGAGAGCTGCTCCCTTCTCACCCCAAGGCGGGCCGGCCGGCTCGCAAGGGCGGGCGCAGGCCGTCTGCGAGCTCGCGACCTTCTCGCGAGCCCCCTCCCGCTCCCCGGGGCGGTGAGGGTTACCCTCGGTTTCCAAGGAGGCGCCCGGGGCTCAGAGAGGCCAAGCGACTCGGCCAAGGTCACACAGCCTCGCTGAGGGAAAACCGCGTCACGGCTCGGGTCTCCGGAGCCCCCGCTCCAGCAGCTTTTCGGAGATACTCTCTTCCTCCCTACGGCGACGCCGGGGAGTCAAGCGGGAAGGTCGGACGCCCGGCTTTCACCTCAAACAATACTGCGCGCTGATCTGCGGGAACAAAAGCGACCAGGAATCCGCCCCGGGTTTTCCGCCGCGCCGCCCCTCCGGTCGCCGCGGGGCGGGACGGGGCGGCTCCAGCGTGATCGACAGCCCCGGGGAGGCGTGGACGGGGCGGGGGCTAATCGGATTGGGGACCCGGAACAATCACGGGCCGAGAAGGGGCAGCCCGAGCCAATCAGCGGGAGGGGCGGGCCTGGCCGGCGCGGCTGTCGCGAGAGGCGGCCACCCCGCCCACTTGCGCCTCGTCCCGGCGCCCGTCAGCAGCGAACGCGGCCGCGCTCGGCCCGGATCCGTCCGCGGACCGGGGAGGCCGGAGCGCGAGGCCGAGCGAGTGCCGGCGCAGATCCCT